CCGGTGGCACCTCCTGGCCATCCCGCAGCCATGCCACGCTGATGGGCCGTGGGTAGAAGCCAGTGACATGGCAAACCAGCAGGAGCTGGGCTGGGCTGGGTGTGCGGGCAAAGACTGTAGCCACGGGCAGCTCTGGGGGGCGTGAAAGCAAGATGGTAGGAGCCCTGGAAGGGGACACTGCTTGGCCCCAGTGTGGGGGCCTTTGGGGTGGCTATGGCAGAGTTGGGGTGGTCTCACCTTGTCTCTCCAGAGCTTCCTTCCCATAGCGCAGTAACACCTCCATGTCATCAACACAGGTATTGTTGAAGAGGACTTCCACCAGCTCGTTGAAGGCAGTATAGTTCTGGAGAATGGCCTGGACGTACCGTGTCAGGCTGGTGTCTTGGGAGAAGAGCCAGGTGCCATTGTCTGTGTTGAAGCTGAGGAAGTCCTGGCCATTGTAGGCCACATAGGCAAAGGCTCGGGAGGTCCTGTTGGGGTAGAGCTCACAGCCTGCCATGCATTGGGCCACAAAGGGATCTGGAGGGGCAGAGAGGAGAGAGAGGTTTCGTGAAGGGCTGAGACTGCCTTCCTGTGGACGTGGTCAGTGTCTCCTGTGCAGCACCAGCACTGGCGGATCCTTCCTCACTTCCCAGATGCTGTTCAGAGAGGGGACACAAAGAAGACTGGGTACTCACAGGGCACATCCTTCTTCATGGCACCTTCATTGACCAGGTGATGGAACCGTTGCAGATAGATCTTGATCATGTTCTCATAGGTCTCCCAGTCACTGCGGGGCAGGGCTGGGCGCACCCAGGGCTGGTAGAAGTGGATGGTCCAGGTGTGCTTATCAAGAGAACCAAGCTCGATGTCTTCTAGCAGGCCCAGCCCCTCTGTGTCCACAAAGGAGGTGTTTTGGAAGGTTGAGGTCTGGAGCAACCGGATAGTGAAGGTCCCTACATGAGACAGGGTTTGACAGGGGGAGATGGGAGTGGGAGGAGAGGGCTAGGGAAAGCAGAGGGGCTGAGGGATGGGTCCTCAGGGACCTCCGGGCCCCCCACAAGTTCCCTGCATCCTTGGCAGCCCCAGCTCCCACCCTCTGCACCCACCTGGAGTGATTGCATCCCTGCCAGGATGGAGATTTGGAGACAGAGGACAAGGAGGGTTCAGGAGGCAAGTGCCCAAGGCTGGGGGGGAGCAGGAAGCCCCTCATCCATGGGGTCCCATAGGGGCATGGAAGCAGGTGTGGATGAGCCAGGGCTCCCACTTACCCTCCAGGTCTGCCCATGTTCCAGAGACAAGGAGGAGGTAGAGGAGAAGGAGGAGAAGGAGGCAGCGGCGAAGGGGATGCATGGTGCCAGCAGTGAGGCCCTAAGCGTGCAGTGGTGGGTGCAGCGGCAGGAGGAAGGGGCTGTGCGAGATGTGGCCACAAACTTCTCATCAGGGTGGCTCTGCCCAGGCAGCTCTGCTGGTTCTAGTAGCTCTGGCAGCCAATGAGGCTGGCACTGAGGTTTCAGGGAGGGCCTTGGGGTTCCGCTTGGGGTGGGCTGGTCTGGGGCATCCTGAGTGGCTGTGAGTGCTGGGGGAATTTGGGTGGGAGCAAGGCCATCCCACTGGCTGCAGGAGGGGTCCCTCATGGCTGCAGCAGCACCTTGACAGTCAGGGTGGTGCAGGTGACCTGACTCTTCTACCACCATTACTGGTGGAGGTGCCACTTGGCCATGGGCTGCATCCACCATTCCTGACAGAAATGTCTCTTGCTGCCGCTCGTGCCTGGCATGTCTGGCTCTGCATAGCACAGACATCTCCAATCGCACTGCACTGCCTGTTTAACTGGGTGGGTTTGCCCCGATGTGGCTGTCTTTCCTGCAGGGGAGGCAAACCCTGTTACAACAGCCTGGCTGCTTGCCTGGGCTCCCCATGTACCCAGGCTGTGCACTGACACCATGCTTCTTTGTCACCTCCCAGCCATCCCACAGACAGGTCATTCTGATGGGCCACAGGTAGAAGCTGGTGATGTGGCAAACCAGCAGAAGCAGAGCTGGGTCATGTATGCAGGTGAAGACCATGGTCACGGATGGCTATGGGGTGTGAGAGTGAGGAGAGCTGGTAATATCCCCTGACCCCTCAGCACTGCTGGCCTGTTCCTGGGGAATGGGCTCCCCATGGAACAGGTGATGAACAGTTCCATTGTGGCCCACAGCTGCAGGGTCAGGGATGGGTGCAAGCAGGGCTGGAGGAAGCGTTTCCTCTAGGATCTTCTCTCAGGGTGCAGGAAGTGGATGGCCTCGAGCATCTGCAGTGGTCCCTGGTCCCCAAGGAAGAGACGAGCTGCGGGGCTTGGAAGGGACTGTTTCCCACTGACAGTCTTTGGACCCTTGGAGTGACGGCACTTGGCCAGGCAGGATCCCCAAGCTGGGATGAGGATGGGACCATGGTCCATTGCCAGGGGGATGTGGTAGATGAGTAGCCTCCCTATTTCCATGGAGCTCCAGCCACACCATGGGGTCTGGGAGCTGCTTCTCTGCTTCCCTGTACCCCACAGTACTGGGGAACTCCAGCTCTCCCCTAAGTGCCC